AGTAGACGCTGAAGATAGAATTCTAACTAACGTTTCTAATAATAAAAATAATCCGTTCTACAAAAAAAATCTTAACAATAGTAATAATGAAAATTATAGTTGCAATGGTAAATTCTAATAATAAAGTCTCATAGCAACAATAATACTAAAAATTCTACTGCTAATAACATTCTAACAACAAATCTGAAAGCAACAATAATACTGAAAATTCTACTGTTAATAACAAATTCCAACAACAAAAAAGTCCAAAGCAACAATAATAGTAAATATTCTACTGTTAGTTTCTAACAACAAAAAAGTCTGGAAGCAACAATAGTACTAAAAATTCTACTGCTAATAACAAGTTCTGACAGCAAAAAAGTCTGAAAGCAACAATAATACCAAAAATTCTACTGCTAATAACAAATTCTGACAGCAAAAAAGTCCAAAAGCAACAGTAATACTAAAAATTCTGCAGCTAATAACAAATTCTGACAACAAAAAGGTCCAAAAGCAGCAATAATACTGAAAATTCTACTATTAATAAATTCTAACAGGATGTCTAAAAGCACAAATAGGTCTACAATTTCTATCAATAAAAAATTCTAATAATTCTAACAACAGTAATACTAAAAATTCTACTATTAACAATTTCTAATAATAATAAATTCTAAAAATATTAATAACAATAGTAGTGCTATAATAGAATTACAGCTAAATAATTATGACAATAATAAAAATAGTAAAAATTCTGGTGGTAATAATAAAAATTCTAACAATAACAATAAAAAAGGGAGGTGTGGCACTGCCTGCTCCTGTGTGGTGACACAGGCGTTTGGAGGGTCCAGCACTGCCTGTGCCCATCCTGGGATGGATCCACTGCTGGGGTCGTTGGTGGCTCGCAGCGGATCCATCCCGGGGATGCCCTTATCTACCAAAACGCCCGACTGGCATGGAGGATCTCCAGCCTGCATGGAATTTGAACTGTCTAAACCTGGGCTGGTGCGTGAGAGGGGAGAAGGAATCGCTGAGTGTCTTCTCCAGCTCCTATGGCAGCTGAGGTTCCCAGAGGCGATGAAATTATGGCTTGTTCTGGTGCAGTGAAACCGAGCTGTGTCGTAGGGAAAAGAGAGGTTCTCCATGTTCCACTTCAAAAAAAAAACCAAACCCCAAACCAACACCTTGATGTCTCTTTGAGCGTGTGCAGCCCAGCTGGCTTGGGTTGCATCTCCAAGACCACGTCTGGAGGAGTCGGGTTGTACAAGACCCTCGTTGTTCAGGTTGTGCCAAACAAGGCCGGGGTTGTAGAGCCAGTGCCCTGCAGTGCTTGAGATACCTTCTGCCTTTTGTCGTCATTGTGGGTGAAAAGTGTGTGGGATTAAGTTGGGTGGAAGTCATATTCCTGTGTGGTGCAAAAAAAGTCTTCCGAGAATGGTTTTATATTTGCTTAAAAGTCTGCGGAGAGATGTGTCGTTCTTTCTGCGTAGCAGAAAGTCACTGCCTAACCTAACAGCAAAAAAACCCCAAACTAGAGTGAAGTATCCATAAGTTGTAAAAATGCACAAAGCTAGTCTTTTATTATACCACTGCCTTAAAAAAAGGCAAATTACTGGAGTCGCAGAAGTGGTCATTCAGGTGCCCATTTTGTTACTTGAAGAGCTGAGCAGCTCTCGTAGGTTAACGGGTAAGAAAACGTGAAAGGCTTTACTCCAGGATGTCTCAATTTATTTTCCATTCACATACCACATACATAAAGGTAATGCATGTCTGTAACTTGAATATAGGGTCTTTTCCTAGATTGAAAACTGCGCTGATGGTTCGTGGTCTGGAATTGTTTTTCCCCTTTGGCTTTTCAGGCTGAAGTCTGGGTAAGGATTGTTCGCACCACTGCCTAGTGACCATGCGTATGAGTCACTTCCAAGCTGCTCTGTTAAAATCTGTATGTTAAATCTATGTCTGACACCTCCACCCCAGACAAGTCATGCCTGTGAGGGGTAATGAGAGAGAGAAAAATACTCCTCGTCTTCATTAGCTGTTACGTTCCCTGCTCAGAGTGTGGGGAAAAACCCTGTAATGTCACCTGGCACGTCAGTGTCTCCTTTGGGTGAAGAGCTGATTTCTTTTTGTTTATTTGTTTGTTTGTTTATCAGTTTTGAACCAGCTGTGCTCAGTGTCATGTTTGTCTTTTCTGACAACTTACTGCTAAACAACAAATTTCAGTAATACCTGGTGGGTAATTTGCTGACAGCGGCTGCTTTTCATAGCTGTGCTTACACCCTTGAACCTTGTTGAATAGCTTAGCAGCTTATTCTTTCCAAGTTATTTAACAGATGCTAATATGATTTCTTGAATGATTCTTTAAGTAAATTCTGTTTAATAATTACCTCTGTGTCACATTTGCTTTAACTGATGGAGTTTGGTCACCGTTCTTTAGCAAGTAATGAAAGAGTGATCTCTAAGAGTGTCATGCTGATTAAAAATAAAATAAAAAAACCCCCCAGCTTTTAGTGAAGGAAAGATTTGCAGTGGACTGGAAAATCTTGCTCCTTTCTTTTCTCCCCAGAGAGACTAGGATTCTGGGTGTAATTGCAGCTGAGCTGATGTTGTCATCACTTGGACTCCTTGTGATAAACCATCTACAGGCTTCAGAATGAAGCCGTGGAGAAGCCATTTTCTAGGTGAATTTGCAGTGGTTTCTGTTCCAACTCTGTGGGTTCAAGTGTTCAGTCTGCTGATGCCATTTGTGTTGATGTTCCTGAAGTTGGTCTTGATCAAGTCAGAAAGTTTCCAAACTTTGAAGGGGACTGAGCATGCTGATGATAGGACTTCACCAGTCAAAGAAAGGGGGGAAAGAAAAAAAGCTCGTGTGAACTAAATGGCCCAGATTTGAGTTTTAATTGTGATCATGCTTTTGACCCTTGGAAAGTGACAACTTCTATATGTGAATGATCAGGTCTGTGGAGTTCTTCAGTAAACTTACCAACTACTTGTCAGACCTGCACATGTCTGTGTGGCTTGTGTGGCTGTGTAGCAAAAATACAAGAAAGTATAATGAATTCGTAACACATTTCTGGCAGCACGGGCCAGGATAAGTGGTCCTTTCCTTTTCATCTAGTGCACTCTAACAAATACATCGGAGAGATGCTCTGATGCTCTCTGTACAAGGCACAAAGTGTGCTGAACCTAGTATCTCTGTTTTAAGGTAAGACACTGCTTCTTTCTCCAGTTCAGGGTCAGTACCACTCTTACCAGCACCTTGTACAGGACAGAAGGTATTCCTGGGGAGATCTGCAGCTCTCCTGTAGACTGGCAAGGTGTTTTTGTAAGGCAGTAGTCTTCCTATGTGGATTAGGTGTCCAGTTGGGTCTGAAGTTGTCACTGTATTAAGCTTTTGTGCACATATTTATTGTAATCTCAGTCAACCAGGCGTGCAGCTGTGGTTTATTTTTTCTTTCCCTCTACCCATTTGTTTTCTGTAAACCCTTTGTAGATTACTCTTTATTTTTCTTGCCACTTTAGTCTTTGTAGCTGTCACTTCCTTTGATAAGTGTGTGTGTGTGTGTGTGTGCATGTGAAAGAATAAGTGATGTTTGGATTGTAACATGCA